ACTACTAAGTTACATATAATCCTGTCAATCATGAACAAAAGCTTGCATTATCAAACAATACGTATATAAGCGCACCAAACTCTCATCCCAAAAAGACATTAAAAAACGTTACAAAGGTGCTATCAACTCAAAAAAGCGTCAGAAGTATTCCAGAAAAAACACATAATCAAAAACAACTCTTAAAACGTCGATATCTCTGTACATCGACAAATCTCAAAACTCTGAAAAACTCATTGGGGCATTACTTTCCCCATCATATTCCGTACTCATAAACTCATTAAAAACTCCATAAATCTTCACAAAACTCAAAACACTGTGTTGCAAATACTCGTCCATTGAAGCGCGCTTAAATCGTTATAAAGGACCTCGCACGTCACTAAATATCATTTCAAAACAAAATCTGGGCGCTTACATACATACAATTCAACATCACAAAAAAAAAACGGTAAAAACAATAGAAAAAACCACCAATACATTACATTACTGAGCAATAGGGTTAGGATTGTGGAAAAGAGTTCAACGTCCTGAGTTACACAGTGTCAGTTACAGTGTCCAGCGAGCAGTTCTCTATACAAATAGCTAAAGTTCTAATCAAAGTCTATAAAGCGTCTTCTTCTCTTGTCGCGTTAGTCCGGGGTTGTTCTTTCATCTTCTTGTCTTTAATGTCGCACAATTCTTAATTATACAGTCCTATCCGGTACTCATCCTTCGTAAGGGGTTCAGAAGTCTTCATCTCTTCAGCGTCGTTCATCGGTGCCATACTGTTAACGGTGTTAGTCGTCGAGTGCGGTTTCGTCTCTGCCATCGAGCCAGTTAGTTCGGTTCGCAAGAAAGACACCTCTTCGCCATTTCACTTTTCTTCACAGGATGTCAGTATGTGTTAAACACCTGCCCGGATTCTCCACCACGTATCAGGGGTAAAATCTCTCTCTCGGGGTTCTCCACACTTGTCAAGGGAAAATCTCGTCTCGTCTCTCTATCGCGTCCCCTTGAGGTACGGGATCGGGAAAGTC